GAGCAGAAACCCACCATCCTAACCCCTCCTCAGAAGCCCCAGAGCACTGAGCATAAACCCACCATCCTAATCCCTCCTCAGAAGTCCCGGAACACTGAGCATAAACCCACCATCCTCACCCCTCCTCAGAAGTCCTGGAGCACTGAGCAGAAACCCATCATCCTAACCCCTCCTCAGAAGTCCTGGAGCACCAAACAGAAACCCACCGTCCTCACCCCTCCTCAGAAGTCCTGGAGCACCAAACAGAAACCCACCATCCTCACCCCTCCTCAGAAGCATCTTGTCCCTGGAGGCTGACTGGCTCTATGGAATAATTTCACCCCAGCATCTCTGTGATACCAAAAACTAGAATTTCACATCCTGACTGCCCTGCAACCGGCACCTTGGAAATCCTCTGAATATTAAAAAAGAAAAAAAATTCTTTTATTTTGTAAAAGGAAAATTACATTTGTAGTGGGTCCTTCTTCATTTTCAGCAACACAGCATTGCAAATTGAAAGACAAATCATTGCATCTGACCAGAATTCGTTTTCCAAACTTCTCTTCAAATGGCTTCACTTCTGGCTCAGCGGATGGATAGTCAAGCTTCTTTAAAAGAAAACGCACATATATACATATTACGCTCCCATTTGGACAGCCCCATCACCAATGTATCCCAAAGGAAATGGTCTAAAACAAGAAAAAGCTATATAGACGCATTTATTTGCAATAGTGTTACTGCCAATATTAAAAAATGGAGAACAACCTAATCTTAGATTAATGGCCAAGTAAATGATGGTCTAGCTACTGGGTGGATGACCACACAGAGCTTAACACACGTGGTTAGGAGTCTACAGAAGAAAAGAAAAATACTTATGACTAAAGTTAAACGGGGAGCAGGAGGTCTATAAAAAAAGACAACAAATGAACAGGGAGAGATACAGCGGAACCTCTGCCTTCCCCAAACCTGTGCACCTTGTGGGCAACCGTGACGGGCCTCACCGCACAGGAGTTCCGGGTTTCGCTGGGGCAGAGAAGTGGACTCAGACACTGAAGGGCTTGTACTTGGGACAGAGTCTGGGCTAGTCGGAAAATATCACTCATTACGGGGCATGTACAGTGATGGTTGCTCATGGGGTATACTACATGTTCTTGTGGACTCAAGGGGAGTTGAGAATGTCTTTGAATAAGTGTTCCTCCATTTCCAAGCACCTATTAGTCATCAGATACTAACTGTAGCTGTGCTACGGTGACGAAGGTACAGGCGCTTTCTATCTTTGCCCAATTTTCTATATTGTTGTTATATTGCTTATCAATCCCAAATACACAGAGAATCCTGTCTAAAGTTTTCCTCCTCCCACTTAGTTAAAAATTTTAAAATGTTTCTTACCTGGGCATCAGGGTCCAAGTGAAAAAGTTTAACTCTGCTTTCACTTTTCAGTTTGATTTCTGCTTCTCTGGTACTCTGATGACAAGACAAATAAAAATTACACTTAAAAAATCCTTTTCTTTTTTTATGATCTTTTTACTGTACTTTAGATGAAGGTTTACAGAGCAAACAAGTTTCTCATTAAACAGTTAGTACACATATTGTTTTCTGACATTGGTTGCCAACCCCATGATGTGTCAACATTCTCCCCTTCTCAACTTTGGGTTCCCTGTTAGCAGCTTTCCTGTCCCCTCCTGCCTTCTCGTCCTTGGCCCTGGGCTGCTGTGCCCCTTCAGTCTCATTTTGTTTCATGGGGCTGTCTAATCTTTGGCTGAAGAGTGTCTTCATTACTGAGCTAAAAGGGTGTCTAGGGGTCATACACTTGGGGTTTCTCCAGTCTCTGTCAGACCAGTATGTCTGGTCTCTTTTGGGTGTGAAAAAATCCTTTTCTTACAGAAGTGGCCAAACATGTGGCCTGTCCTGAAGAGTCAGGCTCAAGCAACTCTACCTCATCTTCAGGGTCAACTATCAACGAACAAATACAGACCATCAAGTATGCAGCACACAACGTAAGTGCTGTAGAAAAAACAGTTGAGACATGATCCTTCTCCTTATGAAGCTGACAATCGACTGGAGAGTCATTAGCAATACAATGAAAGCAAGAGAATCATTAAACATTCAACTGTTTAAAAAGGCTTTATAAAGTAATGGAAGAAAGGAGGAGTTTTGGACGAAGGGGTTGTCGTTGTTAGGCGCCGTCGAGTCGGTTCCAACTCATAGTGACCCTGCATACAACCAAACGAAACACTGTCCTGCGCCATCCTCACAATCGTTATGCTTGACTCCACTGTTGCAGCCACTGTGTCAGTCCATCTCACTGAGGGTCTTCCTCTGTTTTGCTGACCCTCAATTTTACCAAGCATGATGTTCTTCTGTAGGAACTGGTCCCTCCTGATAACATGTCCAAAGTATGTGAGACAAAGTCTCGCCATCCTTGCTTCTAAGGAACTTTCTGGCTGTACTTCTTCCACGACAGATTTGTTCATTCTTCTGGCAGCCCATGGATATTCAATATTCTTTGCCAACAGCATAATTCAAAGGCATCAATTCTTCTTCAGTCTTCTTTATTTATTGTCCAGCTTTTGCCTGCGTATGAGGGGACTGAAAAGACCATGGCTTGGGTCAAGCACACCTTAGTCCTCAAGGTGACATGTTTGCTTTTTACCACTTTAAAGAGGTCTCTTGCAGGAGAAGGAAAGCATGAACATCCCAGGCTCAATGGAAAGGATGCATAGCACGAACAGAAACACTGTGGCTGGAAACAATTCCAGATGCAGGAAAGGTTTAGAGCCCTGTCTAGACCGAGGGTGTAAGCAAGAGCGTAACGGCAATCACTTTTGAATGGGGGAGGGAGGGAACACTATGGCAGATCTTAAAGGACAGTTCTGTGTGGTGCAAACAGTTACGTGCTCAAATACTAACCAAAAGGTTAGCAGTTTGAACCAACCCAGAGGTACCTCAGAAGAAAGGCCTGGCAATCTGCTTCCAAAAGGTCACAACCTTGAAAACTCTATGGAGTAGTTTTACTGTGCAACAGATGGGGTCACCATGGGTCTGAACTGACTCTACAAGGACTGGTTTGGTATAGAGGGGGCATTACTGATTCATTCAGTAAGTATTTATTGAGAGAGTATTGTGTTCCAGGCACAACTGGGAATCCAAGCATGAATGAAACGAAGTTCCCACTCCCAACGAACACCTGCTGGAGAGACAGAGCATCAACAGCAATAAGGAGGAGAAAATAAAGGCTCAGGTATGGCGGAGCTAACGTGGACGAGGAGGTGGCAGTCAGGGAAGACATCCCAGAGGAAGGCCCATCTTCAAGGACAAGGACTCCTGGCCAGGAAAGGAGAGAAGGCATTCTATGAGGAGGAACAACAGGTACAACGGTGCAAGCCCCACCTGAGCAATGAGCAAGTCGTTCATCACGACCGAATGGTTGTGCATGAGGGAAAAAGTGATGAGAAATGAGTCTGAGGTTTCTATGCTAAGGACTGGGGAATTCATTCATGACAATAACAATCATAAAGTTTGCAAGGGAATAAATAACCAGATCTGCATTTCAGAAACACCACCTGAGCAGCAGTGAGGCAATGGATTAAAAAATGGTGAGACAAGGAGGCTGTTGTGATAATACAGGAGAGACCGTGAGGGTCTGTACTATTTCAAGCAGTCTCCATGGGCCTGGAGAAGAAGGGAGAGATACAACAGTGCAAATGAAGGAGATGGTAAACCAAATCCACTGCCATCAAGTCAATTTCAACTCATGGTGGTCCCACATGTTACAGTGTAGAACTGATCCACAGGGTTTTCTTGGCTGTAATCTTTATGGAAGCAGATTGCCAGGTCTTTCTTCCACAGTGGCGCTGGGTGGGTCCGGACTGCTATCCTTTAAGTTACCAGTCAAGCACGAGCTGCACCACCCAGGCACCTGAGGAGACACTAAGACTCATACAGATCCTACGACCTTTCTAGTTTGGGCAACCTGCTGAATGCTGCACCTCCTGACTGAGATGGATAATTCAGGAAGAAGAGCATGTTTGTGGAGAAGACGATGAACAAAGTGGGTGTATCATTTGTGGGACTCCCAAGTGGAAACATCCAGTAGGCAGATGGTTGGGACTTGAGCACCAGGCTGGAAGTACAAATGTGGAAGGCATCAGCTTGGAGGTGGAAAATTTAAGTCTTGAGAGCGGAAGAGATCCCACGGAGGAAAGTGTGAAAAGGGAGTCTGAGGACAGCACCCCAGGGGCCCCAACACTGAAGGGATGGGCAGAAGAGAAGGCGTGGAGGGAAAAGGACGTACGGTGGCAAGCATGCAGGCTGGAGATCTAGGATTTGGAATAGAAAAATAGAGTAGCAAAGGAAAAGCTTCTAAGACGCTCACAATATAGAAATCAGCTCCCACCTCATTATCTCTTGTGCCTGGTGCCTCTAAACCTATTATCCTGGTCTTCCTGGCAGTCAGAGCTCCTCGTTATTCTCAATCTCCACTGTTAAGACTACAGAGTCAAAACAGAACGTCCTCTGTCATCCGCTACTTTCCCAGCCACCCCGTGGGACAGTGACTGCCACAACAGAGAAAGTGCAGAAGGCGTCTTATCTGCTGTGTTGGTGACTGGTGAGGGGTCTATTGTTAGATTTCTAACCACGGCTAATGAGGAAATTAAACATCTCCTTAATTTTCTAATCCATGGAGTTGTTCTAACAGGTTTGTAGCAATGAACCAAGTTCTACCACGGCTCTATCTAACCAACTGTCTAGCAATATCAAATGACCACCTGAATGATAACTGAGAAACTGGGTTCTGGTTTTGGCTCAGTAATTAACCAGCTCAGTTCACCCGGGCAAGCCATTCAGCCTCCCTGGACCCCATCTCCATTTCTGAATAAAAATGTTGAAGAGATGATGGCTCTAGTCTCTTGCCATGACAAACTTTATCTGGATACTACCTATGGGATCTTCAGATTTAGGGAGGTTAAGCGACAGTCCTACAAATCTTCTGTTGATGCTGACAGAGTAAAACATGTGGCTGGGGCAGGCTGCTATGGACGGAGGTGTGTCCCCCGAAAACATACGCGGAAATCCCAGCCCTTGCAGCTGGGAATGTGACGTGTTTGGGGGAATAGGGTTTTTCTCTACAGACGTTGCCAGTTGAGGAAGTGATACCAGAGTAGGGTGGTTCCTAACCCCAATTCCTTCTGAGTGGGGTCTTACAAAAGAGAAGGACAGGCATGGAAGGAGAGTTACACAGAGGGAAGACGGCACGTAAGGATCCACCCACCAATCAAGGAACACCAAAAAACCCCTGGGGCTGCCAGGGGCTGGAGGAGACAAGAAAGAACCCTGCCCCAGAGAGCCCTGCCTACACCCTAAATTCAGACTCCTAGCCTCCAGACTGTGAGAAAATAAACGTCTGTTCTTTAAAGCCACCCACTCTGTGGTATTTCTGTTACAGCAGCATTAGTACACTAAGACATGGGCTCTCTCCAGATCCTGCCTATCACTGTCCCTCATATTTCACATTAGAAGAGCTAGAACTTGTGCCAGTGGAATCTCCTACACAGAACCTAGAGAATTTGCGTCACAGTGCGTACTGCCCATGACGCTTCCTGTCCGTACAAGGCGCTGCAAGCCACCACCAACAGCAACACGTTCTACTTAACTGTCTGCTTGAGTCCTTCAACAGAAGCAAATACTGTGATCCCAGACACTAGAACAGAGCAATGGGTTCTAGTGTAGATGCGATTCCTGCTGTCTTTCTAAAAGATGCCTGTTGTCTCAAGCTGACTGTGCTAAAACAAACAAAAAAACCCACTTTCGGTCAGCAGTCGAGCACTTAGCCACTGTGCCAGCAGGCTCCTCTGACTGTGCCGGGAGATAAGAAACGAATAAAGTGAGAATCACTGCTGTGAGCTCCATATAATTAAAAGGACAAACAGTGATGCAGACATTTTTTTAAATCTCTGTCTCTCTGTACGTATGCATACACATACACACACACACACACACACACAGAAGGATCCCTGGTGGCACAGTGGTTAAACACTTGGCTACTAATCAAAAGGTCTCCAGTTCTAATCCACCAGCTTCTCCGTGGGAGACAGATGTGGCAGTCTGCTTCCCTAAAGATTACAGGCTAGGAAACCCTATGGGGCAGTCCTACTCTGTCCTATAGGGTCTCTATGCATCGGAATTGACTTGACGGCACACAACAACATATATATATATATATAGAGAGAGAGAGAGAAATGACCCCGACAGACATCTGTAAAACATTGCTAAGTGATAGAACATCGTCTGTAGAAAAGGACACTTCTCGGAAGTCAGAAAAGTTAGAAAGGTTATCCCCCGACACCCTCAAACTCTGAGTCAATCATTAAAGACACACCCTGAATGTGTTTTCTTCTTTGTCTTAAGAAACAGTTACGGACCAAGTGTTCAAGACTTTCCAGAAGGACTGGTGTTGGCTTTAGGCATATTCTGTGGTCTTAAGTTCATTTTTGAGCAGGCAAAATAATGAAAAGCCAAAGACTATGGCTAATGGCACCTTATTTTGAGGATGAGTTATCAGAAAAATACTGTGTTGACTATTGGGTCATTAAAACAGAACTGGTTGGAATATGAAGACTTAGCAAAATCTTTTGGGGCCAGAATACATATTTTTTCATTTAAAGGGTACCCATCATTTATTTCCACTACTTCCAAGATATCCAACTCTCCAGGATCATTATCTCATCCCTTATGTTACAAAGCTATATTAAGGTGTTACAGAAATAAGGTGGCTAAAGAAACGGAGTTCCAGCTGACCTCGAAAATACAATCCCTGCCAATTTCTTGGTATTGTTATGCAATGACATCATTTTATGGATTGAGATATGAAGAAGAATGTACTAACAGAGTAGGTTTTAAAAAAATCAGAAAAGGTATCTGTGAAACTGTTTGGGCTCCAGTAAGTATCACTGGACTTTGCACCCTGGCCCTTATTCATCCTTAATGAGACTAGAAAGTTTGAGACACCATACTCTGTCCTGTGTTCTACTGTGGACTCATCATCTAGAAAGATAAGTTCACTCGCTCAAAAGAAAAGTCATGAAGTAATAGTAAGACGTAACAGATTCTGGATTAACATGACACTCTGCTTATCTTTCAGAGCCACATGGGGAGACCAAATGAAGAGTGAGCTGCTGTTTTTGGGTACCAAAGCTCCTCAAAAACAGAAAAGCTGTGGAAGGAAAAATAAAGTGGGAGCTGAGGGTTTTCTGCATGTCTGCATGTTATCTTTAAGTAAGGAGGTGAGATATATGTATAGATATATGCTCCAGTGTCACCTAAGGTAAGTGTAACCAGAGAAAGAAATTACTGAATAACTAGTAACAGGACTTATAAAACTGACCACATGAATTCCTTGACTTTCTAGGGAAGAAACCGATTGACTAACTTTATCTACAGTTCCATATTTAATTTAAAAATTATGTTTATAAGACTACGTACTCTGATAGTATAATTCCTGTTACATTTATAACAATGTTTGGTTCCTATTAGACAATAGGAGGAAAAGAACAGGTTTTAGGGTAAATACAACATGTCCCCTAATATGAAAGCAACAGAAAAGTTCAGTACTAAATGTACAAACACAGGCTCCAAGAATACACAAAATGTTTCAAACCTAAGCCCGTATCATTCACACCATAAATAAAGGGCCTCTCCATAATATTCCAGAATGAGACACCAGTTATTTTTGTACTAACACAACTTCCTGTCGATCATATCCTGTTTGGTTACGGCTCGGTCACAGTAGAAAACAAAAGACGGGGAAACAGGATGAGGGAGGCCAAAAGAGGAGTTGACCAGAGAGGAGACTGCTGATTGAATTATACCTTCAACTACCTTTGGCCTTCTGCCATTGTTCTGGTCCTTTTCTCTGCAATTCTTACTTAACTGGGGCCCAGCTTCCCAGCCCTGACCCTTTCTTACAGCTTCCTTCCCTGGTCCTTGACCTTCACCCCTTCCTTCTCAGACTAACACCCTCTCCCTGCACAGATGTGTGCCTCCTGCCTCTCTCCCCACCCCCTTCCACTTCCTACTTCAATCTCCCATTCTGTAACCATAGAATCCATTTCTTCTGTAAGCTTGATGAAAAGTTACCAGTCAACCTTCCATCCTGGTGAACAAATGATGCCCATCCCAGACATGCTGGTGGAGAGTGATACACAGCCAACACCATACTCTTCCACGGGCCCCGACTGTGAATGGCTGAGAGGCGGGCCAGGTCTCCAGTTTGTGCCTGGGCCCCTCACACTGCACACTCTGGGCACAACCCATCACCACCAAAATGGACCACCAACAGATAACCGCTCCCTACAAACTGGTGGAAGGATACTGAGAAAAGGACATCTTCATTTTTTATATTCTTTCTCCCTTTGAAAATTTACTTTCTGCATTTTCTACCTTCCTTCTTAAAAAATGTTTTTAAAACCCAACAGCTGGTAGAGGAAGAAAAAGCAAAGCCCCTTACAATGCTGCAATTTGCAAACTCTGATCATGATCAAAAATTAGAAATACATTTTATATCACAACCCAGTACACACACACACACAATTACTGAAATACTATCTATCATTATTAAGGGCAATATACTTTGATTGACTCTCTTTAATTCTATTCCACTTAGCATTTTTTAAGATGTGGGTCACATACTGTGAAGCTAAAGAAGCCTGACACAGAGTACACATTGCATGTCTCCACTTGTAGGAAGGTCTAGAACAGCCAGAACTAATCCACGGTGATGGAAGTCAAAAAACAGGGTTATCAGCTTTGAGGGGCAGAATCGAGTCTACTGAAGGTCTGTAAATGTTCCGTATCTTGATCTGGGTGGTGGTTACATGGGTGCAAAGGTGTGAAATCCATTGAGCTACATAATTAATGCTTGAGTATTTTACCTATGGAAGCTATATGCCAATAAAAAAAAAATGAAGAAAAATTAAAAATAACAAAGAAGGTAAGAAATGGGAGTTTGAACCAATTAAACTGATTTTACCGACTAAAATGACTTCAGCTAACTTGGCTGTAACCCACAGGTTGAAAACAGCTCTAAATGTAAGTTATATAGGCACTAATTTTAAACATCCTCCCTAGGTCTCAGAATCCAGTAATACTGACTTACGTTGGCCAGGCAGGGGCTGGCAGTGATACAAGAGAAGAGGGCCACAACTCCAGTATGTCTTCACAGGAAAAGAATATAGATTTCTGAATCATCAATGTTAGGATCAAAAACTACAAGTCTCCTGGGTAGCCACCATTTTGTTCACTTACTAAGTATAGAAAGTTACTTTCTAAATTCTAGATTGAATCACATAGATTTTGCTTCAACGAATTAAAACCAAAAAAGGTTCAAATGTTTTGCTTTGAGAAAGTAAGAACCCTAAAACATCTAGAAACAAACAAAAAAGCAAACCTCAACACAAAAAAACGATACACAGAAGTTCAAACACCAAAAACACAAGCAGGCAGGTGAAACTCTTCCCAGCCGACGAGGAGGTTACAATCTTCTACCTTCCTTCTTAAAAAATGACACCAAAGTCAGCTTTAATAGGCAGGTGCTAAAAAGACACTGCGGTAGCAGTCAGATTCTAAAGAAAAACAATGCTCTAAATTCCTAGCTGGGGAGGGAGAGTTTATATTTTAAAACAGCCATGTTGTCATAAAATAAAGGTCAATGCTGAATGCTAGCCTATTTATAATTGTGTATAGATAAACCAGGTTTCTATAACAGTGTTTAAAAGATGGGTATTTATGGCCGCTATTTCACTAGTCTCAAAAAAAAAAAAAAAAGAAAGAATAGAATGGCAATAATAGGGTAAGAATATAAAGGGCTAGATAGAGAAGACAAAGATATTTCTCTCATTAAAAAAGACTCATTCATAGATGCCCACAAGGAGACAGGACAAGGATATTCCTTGGAGCATTGTTTGCAAGAGAAAAATAATGGCGATAATAGAACAGTGACAGCAAAACCTTTACATGATGCAATAAAAGGGATGAACTAGATTGATGTACGAACTTGGCTAGATCTCAAAAGTAAGGATGAAATAAAAAATAAAAGCAAATGCAGAATAATACATATGTTAAAACTTTTTAAAACATACAAAACACTGCCATATGCATTGTTTTGATAGATATATTATTGGTAAAGATGCAGAAGAGAAATGGAGAAAACTCATAACCGTGGTTGTCTCTGGTGGGGTTTACCTGGGAGGGAAAGAATGTGATTAGGCATGATGCTCAGAAAGAACTGCAAGCGTAACTGACATTTCATTTTATTTTTTTAAAAAAGGAAGCTAAAATAACAATATAGTAACAGATGTTGAACCTGGGTAGTGAGAATATGGTTGTTTTTCTTTGTGCTTTTCAGTAACGTTTAAGTTTCTGAAAATTATTAAAAAAAAAACAGGTATAACTTTTCTTTTTTTTCTGTCAAGAATGACTCAGGAAATAAGATGTCAGTGAAGCCTCTGTCAGTAACGTTTTCTGTAACTCAGGCAATCCCTCTCTGGTTTAGTGACAAGATTATTACAGTCCAGCCTCTTTGGAATTTTATCTATTAATTTGATTAAGTGGGAACACATACGTAAGCGTGGCACGAACCATGTTATTATAGAAATATTTTATCTGTGTATTTTGGTTATTTTTTCAAAATTTATGATGCAATATAAAATATTATAGAGAAAAAACACTTAAAGAATAATAAAAAGACAATACTTTGTATACTTCCTGGAAAACACACTGAAATCTGATTCAGCTCAGTAATGTATTTCCCATCATCTCACATTCAGGTCAGAAAAGAGAGTTAACTAAAGCATGACTGTTAATGATTAATTAAATGTGCAGTCAAACCTGTGAAATCCAGAACCTGTTAAGGCGGAAACCAGTCAGAGGAGGGAAACTCAAAGTTTCCACCAACAGAGAGCGACAGAAAAGTGGTAAGACTGCACCCCGTCAAAGGCGGAAAACTCGCAAGACTGGGAAAAACGAGGCAGTCCCGTAGAGTTCCGGCTCTCACAGGTTTCACTGTAATTGTGAACGGATTTCAACAGATTCCATTCCAGACAAATGCATGAAATGAGGCAAATCTCAGTATCATTCTATGAAGAGCAACAGATTGAAGATGGTATTACCTTGGCAAATTCAGGCAGGTAGCTATCTAAACCGGAACCAGAACCTTCCAGTTTGCTCTGTTCATCGTCTAAAATGGCAAACAGATTAGCCGAGTCACTGGTCACTGAAGGCAGCAAGGAGTAAGGCCGCTTCTCGTCTGTGTTTTCTAATGCAGGGGTTTCCAATCCTGGGTGCATGTTAGAGATACCTGGGGGGCCTCTAAAAGATACTGATACCCAGGTGAGTGGTGGTGAGCAAAATGCTGAATACTACTACAGCATGGGCATTGTCGAATTAGAACTGATGTTGTTGTTGTAATGTGCCAAGTCGATTCCCACTCATAGCGACCCCGTGTGACAGAGGAGAACTGCCCCACGGGGTTTTCTAGGCCATAATCTTTATGGGAGCAGATCACCAGGTCTTTCTCCCATGGAGCCGCTGGGTGGGTTCAAACCACCAACCTTTCCGTTAGCAGCTGAGTGCTTAACCCTTGCGCCACGAGAGCTCCTGAATCAGAATTGATAGCAGCTATAGACAACTAGCTGCAAACAACAGGGTCACATCCATCCGGCCTGCCCAGGCCCCACCCCAGGTCAACTAAATGAGAATCTCCGGTGAGGCCAAGGAAGCAGTAGATTTTAAAAACCTCCCAGGTATTTCTAAGTGTGCAGCCAGGATTGAGAATCACCTGTCTAAGGGCTTGAAATGTCACATGAATTACCAAGAACATAGCCAGATTTTTCCTACCAATTTAATCTGAGGCTTCCACCCATCCTTTGTCTTGAAAATTCCAAAGGATATTATTAAAGAAACAGTAACTCTAACTACTATTTTAAGTGCTGATTCTAGGTCAGGTACTTGAGAAACGTTCCCATCCAACCAGCAGTTTTGTTTTCTTCCCATTTTACAGGTGAGTAAACTGAGGCTCAGAAAATGTAAGTAGCTTGCCCAAGGTCACTAAGCTGAAAAATGGTATTGCTGGACTTGAACCCAGGTCTTCCTGTCTCCAAAGCTGTGGTTTTTCCCATTATATATATTGCCTCCTTTATAGTATTTCCTTAAAAAAATGTCAGGGTAGTAAATTCTGATGTGGCAAAATCACATTTACTGTTAAAATATTTGTAAAGAGCTCACATCTGACCCATCTCTCATGTACATGTGGTGTGTGTGTAGATACATATATGTAGATATACACATATATATACACATACACACTTCCTATACCTTCCTATACCCACTCAGGAAAAATAAAGACTCCCCTCAGAGTGCGTGCAGGCCTGAGGAAAGCCCGACCCACCTACCTTCATGAGAGTCTCCATTTCGTTTTTCTTGCATTGCAGCTTCAAAGTTGAGCTGGAGAATCTTGTTTAAAGTGGCGATCCATTCTTCCATTTCCATTTCACTGTCTGCCGCCAAAAGGTAACTGCTTTTGTCTTGCATCTTAAGCTCAAAAGCAAAACGCCTGACTTTGTTGTTCTGAAATGTAAAAGTGGTAAAGAAACATATTTTTAAAGAATTGGAAATGCCTTAAATCATTTCTCTTTATTATTTGCTGATGGCTTGCTCACCAAAAGGTCAGCAGTTCGAATCCACCAGCCACTCCTCGGAAATCCTATGGGGGCAGTTCTACTCTGTCTCCTATGGGATCACTATGAGTCAGAATCAACTCAATGACAACCGGTATTATTTGCTGATGGGTGCTATCTCACTGGCATTTTGGACTACGCCCATTTATAACTCCAAGGAGTCCTGGTGGTGCAGTAGTTAAGCACTCAGCTGCTAACTGAAAGGTTAGCAGTTCGAACCCATCAGCAGCTCTGCGGGAGAAAGGGGTGGCAGTCTGCTTCCCTACAGATTTACGGCCTTAGAAACCCAATGGAGCAGGTCTACTCTTCCTGTAGGCTCACTATTGGAATCAACTGGACGACAAAGGGTTTGTTTTTTTTTTTGTTTAGTATTTACAACTCCAAGCTCCCTCCCTCATACGATCCCAATCACTATCCACCTTCCCTGCTGTATTTTCTCCATAGCTTTATTTTTCCATCTGATATATTACATTATTTATTTCGTTTACTATCTGTCCCTCCCAGTGGAGCATAAACTCCATGAGTGCAGAGACTTTCCCCCTTCTTTTGTTCAATATCCTTAGTCTCTAAAACATAACAGGCACATGAAAACTATCTGCTGAATGACCGAAATTTCATTTCAAATTGTCTTATTCCTCCACCTCAATGAGTATTTTTCTTAATGAAACAGTATGGTATTATATTTTTTCAAGTAAGCCATGATCTATCAATGTTTGACTTACTTATTTGGAATTCTCTAATCATTTAGGAATCCTAGAAAGTATTTGGACTCTTATCTACAGACTTCCTTCATGTCTCTGGTTTCTACGCTTGTGAAAGTGTCGGACTAAAAGTAAAAGATGGAAGAGGAACACACGCCAGACTAGGGTTTCTCAGCCTCGGCTCTCCTGACACTTGGGGCCTACAGTTCTTTGCTGTGGGGACTGTCCCGTGCACTGCAGGATGGTTAGTGGCCCATCCGGCCTCTAACCACTAGATGCCAGCAGCACCCCTCCCCAGCTGTAACCACCACAAGGATTCCATGACATTTCCAACTGTCCCCCAGGGGGGCAAAATTACCCAGGGCTGAGGGTTACTGCAATAAAAAGAGATTCAGCTCTGAGAAAAATGCCGCGAGAGCCCTCGTAAGCCATAGACTAAGAGGCAGTAACTCAGACTCCCACCAACGTGCAGAACGGCCCTTACCCGCTCAGTCACTGAAATTCTAGACGGTTGTGCACAGTGCCTGAGGCAGCCCTTCAGCATGTGCCTCCGGGACAAGGCGGCCCTTCCAAACGGCCGCGCAGTTCTTAGAAACACAGGAGAGCACTGCTCTTGGCAAAGCTACACAACCCACTGTGCACAGACCGTCTGCTGTGGGTTCATAATTTTAGACCTCACTTGACTTCAACTGGAGGCAAAAATCAAAGGAATCAAAAGGCTAGAAATGAGACGAGTTCTTCCTCCTCTCGCCCCATCCCAACGCACTCTTCACATGCTCATGATTATCTACAAAAATAAAAAGTTCAAGATGGGGAGAGAACCTTAGACCTTGACACTAAGAGATTGATCTTTCTGAGTCTCAGTTTCCTCATCTGCAAAACAAGTGGAATAAATTTCAAAAGTTCTAAATTACTTTTAGAGCTTAAAATTCTAAACTGTATTTCTTTCAGTTCTACTTAAAATTTTTTTTTTAGTTTAGGTATTTCCCTGAACTGATAGCATTAATAAACTAATTTTTTCACAATGTCCAGAAGTAATAAAAAAAAAAAAATAACTCACAAATTTTCAGCTTAATTTGTAAAAAGACATGGATGAAAAAGTAAATTATTTCAAACTTTTGAAGCCTTAGAGTCATTAAATGCAAAACACTACCAGCCACACCCTGCAAAAAGAATTGAAGGCGGAGACTCCCATTGAAGTGGAATCTTAAATTTTGAAACATACTCCAGAGACTACATGACAGTCCTGCTAACTACAGGTTTGCTGTACGTGTAAAACATCTACAGGCCGTGCCAAAGACTCACACGTCCACGTGAAACATCTACAGGC